CCACTGGTAAAAAGAAGGGAATCAAGAGCGCAGCCTCCGTGGATAGATTCCGCTGGGAAGGGCTTGCTAAAGAGGCGGTCTAGATGCTGGCGAGCATACCGAACAGCTCCGTCGAACAGCACGTTTGACAAGTATCGGTTGGTTCGAAATGAGTGCAAGCTGCATCTTAGGTTGGCTCGGCTTCAGTATGAAAAGGGCTTAGCTAATACTGCCTCGAAAATTCCCAAGAAATTCTTCGCTTACGTTAAACGACGCTGTGGTGCAAACTCGCCCATACCACCATTGCTTCGAGGAGATGGGACCCATGCCTATAGCGACTATGACAAGGCATGCGTGCTTGGTAAGCAGTACTCAAGCGTCTTTGTCCGCGAAACAAATACGCCATGCAAAGAGTTAGCTTCAAGAGTCTCTGAGGACTGTTGTCTGGATGAAATTCCTATAACTGAGTCCCAAGTTCTCCGGTTGCTAAGAGAGGTAAACCCAACTAAGGCTTCCGGGCCAGATTCCGTTCATCCAAAATTGTTGCATGAATTGGCAGTGGAACTCAGTGGACCTCTGACTTGTGTGTTTCAGAAGTCACTCAACAGCTGTATCTTGCCTACCAAATGGAAGGAGGCTGTTGTCTGCCCGATTTTCAAGTGCGGTGACAAAGACCTACCGGCTAATTACAGGCCTGTCAGCTTGACTAGCGTGGTCGTTAAGTTACTTGAAAAATTAGTACGCGATACAGTGGAGAACCATTTAAATAGGTTTAACCTGTTTTGCGTCGAGCAACATGGTTTTCGCAAAGGATTTTCGTGTCAGACGAACCTGCTGGTAGCTCGTGTGAGCTGGGCTGAAGCCGTATGTATGTATGTATGTAATCTCAACAGTCTAGTAACTAGACATAGAGCCAAGAAAACCATGGAAATCAGTGTATAAGAGACAGTCTTGCGTCATAATAATCATGGCATGCTAGCTGAAGGTGGGCAACACACTTCAGCTAATATGCCGCAAGAGAATGGAATATTTTGACAAAAATACAGAACAAAACATTTTTAGTTTGTTTGTCACACGCCGGTTTTTCTCTTTTTTTGTCATTTTCAATTTTTGTAGAATTAAACATGTGAATCAACACAACACTGTACACAATTCTTCCATTGATTCCGGTTGCGGGCCATGTCTTCAAGTGTCCTAAGCCATTGGCACTCGCCATCTTTGGGTCCCCATCCTGGAAGACGTACGGGTCCAACAGCGGCTAGACACGACGTCAGCGATTTCATGTGCTGCCGCCAAGTGGAAGGCTGACCACCACGCGGTCGCTTCCAGCCAGGTCCTTGACGAGCGAATAGAGCGCGACGCGGTAGACGCTCAGGTGCCATGCGTAGGACATGACCGAGCCATCTTAACTGGCGCAACAAAACCAGTTTGTTGAAGGAAATACTTGCATTCCCCAAGACGCGACGTCGAACGTCATTACTGGTAACTCGATGTTGCCACTGAACACGAGCGATCCTCCTTAAGCAACCGTTCTCGAACGCAGAAAGACGACGCATGTCTTCCACGCGAATCGGCCAGGACTCGCTCCCGTACAACAATACTGAGCGAACGGACGCGCTGTAAACTCGGCCCTTTAGTGAGAATGAGACGTCGCGACGACGCCACAAGTGCCTCAGATTGACAAATGCTGATCGAGCTTTAGCGATACGAAGCGAAACTTCTTTGTTGATTGTGCCGTCAGCGGAAACACAGCTCCCAAGGTAGACGGAACTATCTACCTGTTCAAGTTGTGCACCTTGGAGAGTGAGCACGGGTGCAGGTGAAAGCCAATCCTTGAGCAGTACTTTACACTTCGATGGGGCGAAGCTCATGCCATACTTAGATGCTTCAACCGCCAAACGATCCAGAATGAGTTGCATACCCTGAGGATCGTCACCAAGTAAGGCGATATCATCAGCATAATCTAAGTCGGTCGCGCGCTCACCCGGTAGAAGCTTCTAGGCCAAAATGTTGGAAACCTTCTAGGGCATTCGACAGAACGTCTTCGATTGCGAAGTTGAAGAGGAATGGGGACATAGGGCAGCCCTGTCGCACACCGCTATTGACAGTGAATTGCGAGGAAAGCTTGCCATAGACCCTCACTCTGCCGGATGTGTGAAGGTAAAGTGCTCGTAAGATGGCGCTATATTTCTCTGGCACCCCGTTCTTTAATAAGCAACGCCATAAAGCAGGTCGATCAACGGAGTCAAAAGCGACACGTATGTCTAGGAATGCAACGATAGTGGGCCTGTGATAAATGTGGCGATGTTCAAGGAGTTGGCGGAGCGTGAAGATTTGATCCACGCATCCGCGGCCAGGACGGAAACCAGCTTGTTCTTCACGGTAGTACGATTCACGTACTGGGGATAGTCTACGAAGTAGAATGGATGCCAACAGCTTAGAGGCAACCGAAATAAGACTAATCCCGCGATGATTTGCACATGAAGTGCGAGCGCCTTTCTTGAAAATTGGGACAATAACTGATTCGCCCCAAGAGGGAGGCACTCTCTCTTCATGCCAAATTTTTGCGAACAGCGCGGTTAGCTGGTTAATGACTGCCACACCGCCATACTTGAATAGCTCCGGAGGAAGTCCGTCTAAGCAGGCAGCCTTGAAGCGCTTCAAGCGTCGAATCTCGAGGCAGACTTCCGCTTCGCTGGGTGGATTCAATGGGACTAGCCAAGGTGGACCGCAAGGTGTACTGCATGTACTGATGGATGGTGGAGGCCAGTTGAACTGCGAGTGAAAGTGCTCGGCCCAGCGGTCCATACGCCTCTGTTGGTTGGTGATCGGAGACTCATCCACCTCACAAATGACCTCACTGACACCAGGCTTCCTGAGGCCAGTGGACCGAATGAGTTGGAAAAGCCTGCGAGTGTTACCAGAGAGGGCAGCAGTCTCCATCTCTAAAGCACGCTCAGACCACCATGTCTCGCGATCCTTGCGGAGGCTTTGCTTAAGCAGCCGGTTGGTAGAACGGCGCCGCTCGTTGCAATCTGATTCCGCGGAGATATCTTTGCGGCGTTCGAAGAGCTCCAGAGAACGAGCAGAGATCCAAGACTTCAAAGGGCGTCGAGTTAGACCGCAGTATGACTGTCCGGAAATGGTCAGCGCTTTCCGTATACAAGTCCAATGTTGTTCCACTTCTCGCGGTGGATTGCAACTGAGTGCATATGCCAGTGAAGACTGATAGCTCTCCTGGACAGAGGAATCAGTTAATCTGAAGCCGTAGACAGTGGACATGCTTTAGATGTGGTGTTCATTGACTTCGCCAAGGCCTTTGACACTTTCCCCCATTTGCTACTCTCAGTGAAGTTGAGGTCGTATGGAATAACTGGTCGCGCTCTCCAGTGGGTGTCAGCTTTTCTGGATGGACGGGAACAGTGTATTCGTGTGGGAAGCTGTCTTTCGTTTCGACAAGCTGTACTTAGCGGCGTTCCGCAAGGCTCTGTCCTAGGTCCGCTGCTTTTTTCTGTCTACGTGAATGACTTGCCAGAGGAGCTTGAGGTACCATCGCTCTTATTTGCTGATGACCTAAAGCTCTGGAATATTGTTGATATCCCTGGAGGTCCTGTAGCTCTTCAACTGGCTCTGGATAGACTCTGGGAATGGTCTGTCTTATGGTTGCTGCCCATAAACCGGGCAAAGTGTTCAGTGCTGCGCATCGGAGCGTCTGCTTCCTCCACAAGTTATGTGCTCGATGGGAGTGAACTTCCTCACGTGACTCATCAGGTTGATCTAGGTGTCGTCCACTGTACCACACTACACTCTGGCGACAACTGGAAGAAGGCGGCTAGTAAAGGGTTCCGGATGTTGTGGTTTATCCGTCGTTCTTTTGGGATCCTAACCGCTGATGTGTTTGTGAAGCTTTTCTCAGCGTTTGTGCGACCCCACCTAGAATATTGCGTCCAGGCCTGTCCACCATGCCTTGTCCGGGACAAAATGGCACTAGAAAGGGTGTTGCGTGTCGGTACTAGGTTGGTCAAGGGATTACGAGGGCAAACGTACCCCGAACGCCTACTTAGTTTGGGGATGCACTCAATGCACTATCGAAGGATTAGAGGGGACCTAATCCTAACCTACCGTATTATGACTGGGAAGGTTGGCCCCTGATTTGTCCATGCTATTTAGTCCTGCTAGATTATCTGGTCTTCGCGGGCATTGTATGAAACTGGACAAACCGCGGTCCGATCGAGTTAGAGCGGAGACACGGTTCTCACGTCGAGTCATCGAGCGCTGGAACCTGCTTCCAGAACATGTTGTCAAGGAATCTACGGTTAAGGGGTTTGAGCGTCAACTAGACGCTCTTGGGTGGCAACACGAAACCTTTCCTTTTTCCTGACTAATTCCCATCTTCATACTTCGACTCTATTTTCTTTACTTTTCCTCGCCATTGGTATTATTCTCTTCTTTTAACTGATTTCCCCTACTCTCTTACCTTCGTTTTTTCTTCCTCTCTTACTTACTTCACGCAACTGACATAGCTGGGACAGCTAATGTAAGGAACGTGGGCATTAAATTGGTGGACCAGGGTGTTTTTCGGGTGTTTTCCTTTTAGACCCATCAAAAAGTCGGAGCACCTTTATCAACTCCTGGATCGACGACCCGCTCAAGAAGGAACACTTACGGGATTCATCCTATCGTTCCAGTCCCACTTGAACTTGAACTTGCTGTGGCATCGGTCCTGATCAGTATGAAGCACTGCAGCTGATGACTTCTCCAGCTATTGTTTTGTTTTGTGATGTCTGCCGTACTTCCTTAAACAACAGACGTCTCGTGAATGGGCTCTCCGATCAGCCCTCATCCCATTCCAATGACACCCCTAATTACTCCTCATTCTCCCCCTTCTGCCTCCGCACCAACCTCTCCCACAGGTAAACGAAGTCGCGGGCGGTCTGATTCTTTCCCCCAGCCGTTGGAATACGTTCATCACAGTGAGTCCAAGTCGAAGACATACGCATCGGTTGTAAAGGAAAGTACCACCGCATCTGGTGATATGTATAACGCTAAGACTAAGTCGAAGTCTAAATCCAAGACTTCCTCCCCTCAGTCGCAGTTCAAATCTGTCCTTGACAAGATTAACCATTTGGAATCGCTGATCAAAGACAGCGCAAATCCTTCCCAACCGCAAACCACCAGGCGTACCCTACCACCCTCCCGTGACCGGTGTCTCATCATTATGAATGCGCCTGAATCGACCAAAGATGCCCCAGCCGGAAGGATGTTAGACGACCAAGTGTTCCTAGAACGACTTATCTCTGTGTTATTCGACGAAGGCGAACAGGGAATCAACATTATCTCGGCTTTCCGCTTAGGTAAGAAACAAGAAGATTCCCTCAAGCCTCGCCCCCTAAAGGTTGTGTTCCAAAACGAGGAAGAATGTCGACGCATTCTCCTACGGACCTCACGGCTCAAAGGCAAGCCGTTTTATGTGTTGAGAGATCTCTCCCCGGAAGATCGGATCAAAATGAAAAAAGCCGTTGATGAGCTGAGGACCCGTCGGGCGAATGGTGAAACGGACCTTCATATCGTGGATTTTCGCGTAGTTCGGAAAACTCCAAGAACCCGTTGGAGGCCGATTTTTCTCATCCTAGGACAGTAACGCAAAAGAACGGACTGCGTGTGCTGTTCGCTAATGTTCGTAGTCTGCGAAATAAACTTGATGAGATCCAGACGCTTGCCGCAGATGTTTGTCCTGATTTAATGGCCTTCACTGAAACATGGTTATTCCCTGACATCATTGACTCTGAAGTATCTATCCCTGGATACCACCTTTCTCGGGCCGATCGTCATGGGAGGAAGTCGGGAGGCGGCGTAATACTATACTGGAGAGCGGATCTGAAGTCCCATCTAGTTGAGGTCTCATGTGACAATGACAGCGATTTTGATGCCCTTTGGTGTCGCATTCATGACGGGTGCAGATCTTCTTTGATTGATGTCATCTACAGAGCGCCACTGGGCGCGGGAGCTCGCCTGTTGGAACTGATCAAGAAGCATGGTGCTGGAAAGGATTGTCTTATTCTGGGAGATTTCAATGCTCCTAATATCGACTGGGACCTCTTTCTTTGCAATCGTCCACCTGATTCCTTTGATGCCGCTTTCCTTGATACCACTCTCGACTGCAGCCTGTATCAACATGTGTCCATGCCGACTCGCATTCTCGCCGGCCAGTGGCCTCATATCCTGGATCTTGTGCTCTCTCCAGCGCAGTCAGACGTCATGGATTTAACAGTCTTCCAACCCATTGGTAAAAGCGATCATTGTACTATTTTATTCCAATAAACTCGTCGCTTTACCGTTCACAACTCATGTGCCGTTCGCCGAAATTTCTGGCGTACCGATGCCCTTCGGCTTGAAACGGCTGCAAGCAGTATGGATTGGTATATTCCCGAACATCTCAATGTGGTCGGTGCCTGGAATCTTCTGTACTCCAAGTTGACATCACTCATTGAGCAAGTTGTCCCCATTTCCAAAAAGCGACCGCTCTCTAGAGGCCCTCCATGGATCGATCGTGATCTGAGATCCCTAATGAACAGAAGACGTAAGTTGTGGGACCGCTTTAGGATCACACGGTCAGAGCATGACTACATCAGTTACAAAACGGTTAGGAATACCTGTACCCTGCAAAAACGTGAGAAACGTCAACAATATGAACTCTCTCTAGCCACACTTTCTAGAAACACTCCTAAGACGCTTTTCTCCTACCTCAAACGGAGCACTAGAGCGGGCAGTGGTATCCCTGCCCTGTGTTCTTCCGAACATGAGGATCCAGTTCACGAAGACACCGACAAAGCCAGCCTCCTGGCTCGGCAATACTCTTCAGTGTATTCAACATCAGCGTCGTTCACTGACAGAACAGTGTGCACTCCCCCTTCTCTGTTAGAGCACGTCGATATAAACACTGACGTCGTGTTGAAACTTCTCTGTGAGTTGGATCCTTACTCATCGCCTGGTCCTGACGACTTGCACCCTTTGTTCCTCAAGACTGTGGCTCAGTACATTGCTTCACCTATCACGCAGGTTTTCCGTCGATCGTTTCAGTCCGGACTTCTCCCGACCGCTTGGAAGATGGGCATCATCAAGCCCATATACAAAGGAGGGAACCGGCAAGACCCAGCTAGCTACCGGCCCATCTGCCTTACATCGATAGTGTGCAAAATCATGGAACGGGTCCTGAAACGGGCGCTTCGACTTCATCTCGAGCGGTTGGATCTGATATCCAGTGCCCAACATGGTTTTCGCAAAGCTCGCTTCCTGCTCTACCAACTTGCTTATGGCTAGAGAAAAATGGGCAAATTCATTGGATGTTGGCAAACGTCTGGATGTTTTGTTCGTGGACTTCAGTAAAGCGTTTGATAAGGTCCCTCGTGAACAGCTTCTCTACAAACTCCGAGGAATCGGTATCTCTGGAAACTTTCTCTCCTGGATTTCCGATTTCCTACACACTCGTTCCATGCTGGTGAGAGTGAACGAAACGTATTCCGATCCTGTTCATATGACCAGCGGTGTTCCACAGGGCTCCGTCCTCGGCCCCGAACTCTTCAACATCTTCATCAACGATCTACCGTCGGAGCTACAATCGGATTGCTTGATTTATGCGGATGATCTAAAGATATGGAAGGAGGTATCCTCTCTAGAGGATGCTGATCGACTACAAGAGACGCTCGATCTCCTGCACACTTGGTCGATTCAGTGGCGCTTACCCATTAATCAAGACAAATGTTCCGTCCTGCCTATCGGCGCTCCTGAACCACTCGGCGCTTACCACATAGGTGGTTTCTTGCTCAAAAATGTTACGTCAGAGAGAGATCTGGGCGTGATTGTTTCCCCGGACTTAAGATCCACTCAGGACACCATGAAGAGGGTTGCCGCTGCCTACAGAATGTTTCATGCCATCCGAAGAGCTTTCTGTCGCTTGACACCGGAACTCTTTAGACTTCTGTTCACCTCGCATGTGCGCCCGATTTTGGAATACGGTCTCCCCGCTGCCTACCCGCTTTCCAAATCTGAGCGCGACATGATCGGAAAGGTCCAAAGGCGTGGATCGAAGTTTGTCTCCAAGTTACGTGACCTGCCATATCCCCTTCGGCTTCGGCATTTGAATATGTTTTCTATGGATTACCGCCGTCGGCGTGGGGACTTGATCTTTACCCGTCGTATCCTCAGGGGAGAACTAGGGAGAGTTGCAGGAATTCTTCCACCTCATTTCGGGAGTTCGACTAGAGGCCACCAATGGAAAATATTCAAGCCACGGAGGCTCAAAGTACGGTCCATTCTTGCTCTATCCACTCGCGTTGTGAATAATTGGAACCAGTTACCGCCGACAGTCGTTGATGCACAGACAGAGGATTGCTTCAAACGACTACTTGATACACACCTGTTGAATATGCCGGGATCGTGTTGCTTCAGCTACCAGTGCGACGGCCTCACCGGAGTTCCCGTTGCGCAATGACGAGCATCCCAGCAATGATCGGGAAGCGATGGAGCTGACAAGGGATTTCCCCTCCTGCTCTCTACTACCCCAATGAACCCAGTACTTAAGCACAAAGCGACCTTTACGCATATCTTTCAAATCCAGTTATGAAAGCATCACCATTTAGCCTGGTCATGTCAGGTCAGACGGACGATAGAGGCTTCCGCCTAACGAGCGTCCAGTTCTTGTGCCGGTAAGTGGAACGGCCCACGGCACTTCGACATGTTGTACCGGAACACAAAGTCCCTCCAGGCCAATTTTCAAGTTCAAGTTCAGTTAGGACCGGAACGATAGGATAATCCCGTGAATGTTCCTTCATTTGCGTGTCGTTGGATCGGGAAATGACAGGTCTGCTTGAGATGTTGAAAAGCCTAAAACAAAGACCGCATCACACCCTGTCCAACCAATTACTGCCCACATTTTCCCACCCAGCAGTCCCTGCCAGGCCGGTTTATGTGAATTAAAAGAGTGAAGGGTAAGCTTAGAAAATAAGAGGAGAAATGTCAGCTAAATAATGATAATACTAAGGTGAGAAGAAAGTTAAAAAAGAACGAAGGGAAAGTTAAAGACACAA